TTGCCAGACCAAAAAAAAAAAAAAAAAAAACCACCAAAAAAAAAAAACCACACCAAAAAAAACCACACCACGCCACAACCAAAAAAACCCCAAACTCAGGTCCTTCAACTTTCCTCCTAGGCCATATCTTCTGGATTTCACATCTTTCTTCTTTCCTTCCCTCTGAACTTTCCCCAGCTGGTCCAAATCTTGCACTAGTAGAACCAGTTCTTCAGTGTGATTGCATTACTAATTGATACTTTCTCAGCCATTAAGCTGCCAGTGCCCTTCTATAAAATTGCAGTTTAACCAGCCACACACCTCTGCAGATTTTACCTATGTAAATGTAGCTATGTTATACTTGACCTTGAATCACACCTCACTGCAGGCTGTTTCTCCCATTTGTTGAGACTGTTCTGTGCTCCACCCTCCTGCCTACCCTTCCAGTTTAGCACTGTCTGCAAATCTTAACACTGTATATTTTACCCCTTCATCAGAATTATTAATAGAAACACTGAACACGAGCAGATACAGAATGAAGCCTTGCAGAATCCCATTTAACAAACACCAGTTTGACACTGAACCGATCCTAAAGAAATTTCCAACCACTTGTTCACACACTTTTCAAGAGGGTTAATCTAAATCAACACACTCAAAATAATCCACACTTCATTCACAATCAGTTAGTGCCTCTTCACACCTCATCACAGTAGAGAAACTCCTGAGAAAGGAAGCTCTTCGCACCTCATTAGTAATTAAGTACAGCTCACAAATTGATGTACATTAACCTAAATATGTCTTTTCCCAATTGCTTTTCAGAACATTATCATAAAAAAAAAAATTAAAAGATTTATTGTGTTCAACATCCAAAAATCTATTCTTCTCCAATCTGCACAAGCTCTGTTATAGTGTTCTAAAGGAAATTAAATGTATCTGTATTTGAAAAATCCACGCTTTTGCTACCGTGCCAGCAAATAAATTACTGTTTGCCGTTGCTGAGACTGTAAAGATTTAGCTCATAGTAATTAGGAAAAATTTATCTGATGCTGACAGCATTAGATGTTCTCTTAGATCAGGTTCTATATGTGCATGGACCACAAGAATGAAGATGTAAGAAACACTAAATAAATGTGATGTCATCTTGAAACTAACCATAAGTAAGAAAGACCTGACTAAAAGCAGTCTGTTAACCTCCATTCCTTAAGAATAAAATGTTTACTGCAACCAATGCCTAAAGCCAGAAAAGGAACATCACATGCATGCTCAGTGTATCGCTGAAAAGTTACAAGAATACTTTGTAAACTGCAATTGTAATAAACATAAAGGACAAAAGAAAGCCTCCTCAAACTACCCACAAAAGGATGTGGTAAGGAACCATCAAAATAAAACCCAGTATCACATCCAAAATTTGAGAAAGTTGTTTTTGTTTTAATAGATTATATTTCATTGAGAGAGCAATTTAAGAATTCAGACAGTACATAAAATATTAATTCCAAGCAAGTTAGAGGAGTTAGAATTAAGAGTGGGAGATAATATTGGGCCAATGTCAATCAGACCTTTTACTTTAATCACTACAATTCCACATTATTTTACTAAAAATGCATAACTGCAAGTGTGTTTCTATTTATCTAACATAGAATACATGAATTAAAGCAGACAGAAATAAAGGAAAATTATTCAAGATGACAGATCTACAAAAAAATCTGCCATTTGGTAAACCAGGTGGTCATAATTAGACTCAGATTCATTTTTGAAGGGAGGACACAAAATCTTCAGTAATCCAGACAGTTAAATCAACATGCACACTAGTTACAAAAAGACCTAACAAGTTTAAGATCCTTTTTCCTCTTCACGAGGAATAAGAACACTTTTCTTCACAGTTTCTAAACCAATTCCATGTTTGAGAGAGGCAGCATCTTGTTTCAAGAGCAGAGCTGGGGAGTTCCTCAGAGAGCTATCTCCTCAAGAGCTGACAGAAATCACAAAAGCTTTCATCTTTAAGACTCTGATCCACAGCTGGATCTACCATGCAGGGTATGAGCAAGTCAATTATTTATAAACACATAGCACCCAACCTCCTTCTACATCAGCACCCAGGAGCGGAGGGGACAACTGACTCGGCAAGTACTGGGCCTTGATAGGCTTTGCACAGCTCAGCAGGTCAGCACAGCTGGTCACCCAGTACTAGAAACAAAGAATTACAGTACACTTAGAGCAGTGTAAAACATGTAAAGTTGGTGTCCAGTCTTCACCGGTCCACAGAAAACTGAGAATCGAACGTGCCACCACTACACTTTCTTCTCCCTGTTGTACAGGTCAGAAAGAACGTCCCCCTGTAGCCCAAACACACGCTTAGGAACCATTAAATTAAAACATCCAAAACACAGAATTTGAAGATGAATAATGGTTATAAATGAACGCAATTGACTAAGAAACGTTGCTGCCAAAGTATTAGGCAATTTAATGCCAATTTCTACGTCACTGTAAAAATCTAGTATTTCCAAGAGTTTTTAATGAAGTTTGGGTTTATTAACACTCTTACTACACTTCACTGAATCCATTCACCTGCAATTTTACTTGCATTTTACTGCTCTGTCCACAGCAGGCTCAACAAATCCAAATCCAGTTACTTTAATACAATTCGATGTAGATTTTGTCATAAAGCTTTTCATAACTGAAGACACAATAGAGAAGAAACTTCACAGGCAACACAGAAAGCTCCAGCAATAAAGAATTAAATAGCAAGCTTATAATAAAATTATAAATTTAGCATAGGTTTAAAACTATAGAAGAACCTAGACTTAAAATTACCTTCAGGAAATAATACCAGGTCATCTAAATCCTGATTATACAATGCTAGAATGATCCCAATCTAGTAGGAAAATTCCTCCAAAATACAAGTTGAAACCAGTAGCGTGGAAATACAGAGCATAATCCTCCACAATTTTTACCCTAGAAAGCAAAAAGGCTAGAATTGCCCTTGGGAATCCTACATATTACAAAATTGTTCTTGGTGTTCTTAGCCTCCCTTCTCCAGGGGATTTCAAGGCCCATTTGAAAAAAAGAAAGGAGGTTTTCAGAGAAGACTGCAGCTTCTAAGCACACAATAAGGAAAGTGATGCGGTAAGCCCACTTGCATTCCCCACGTTACTTACCTGGCTCTCCAGGTTTGCAATTTACACATCACCATTTGAGAAGATCTGACCCCCGTTGCTGAAAGACAGAGGGGTCTCCTCTCACACAAACTACTTACCCTGGGCCAAGCACCCTCTCACTGAGACAGTGCACTTGTGGAAAACAAGTCACTTTGCTGAACACAGAGAACACTAAGGAACTGGGAATAAAAGTGGGTAACGTCCTGCCAGGTAAGAGCTGAACCTGTTCAGAAAACATGGTACAAAAAACAGCACAAGGGAACTTGTCTGACCAGACAGATGGAAGAAAGAAGAGGGAGGTCCTCCCTGCTTCAGAAGTGGTAAATTATGAGATTGTCTGAGCCGTAAGGCTGGACAGCAGCAGCTGCAGGCTGGCACAGCTGCTGACGCTATGGCCAGATTGCTGGAAGCCAGTCCCTTCCACGCTGCTAAACACAAGATTTGTGGCAGGTGTGCTAAGAGACCATACATTGCTTAATATCAAAAGCCTCCAGTGCAGAAAGAGCATTAGGCTTAAACACCCTTTAGTAACGTTCTGGGAAAATCTTTGCTATTGCTTCACTTTTAAAGACCCAATCCATTTTTGGCCTTTGCCAAAAATATATAAAGTCTCTGTGCTAGACTAAGATGAAGAGCCTATCAAATTCAATAACACAGTGATCAGGCAAAACACATTGTAAGCTGTCCCAAAAGAAGACTTTTTTTTTTTAACTGCTTCCTGAAATACTTCAAATAACAATCCAGACAAAAACGCATACATTTAACACGACTCCCTTCCTGAGTGCACTTTTAAATTATGAAGTGGGTCCTGCTAGGTCAACAGTACCAGAGAGAACACAGATATAAACGTATTTCAACTTAGGAAGACACGGTTGAATGACTTGGAAAAAAAATCAGTCCAGAAGTTTCCTCAGCTAATACAGGTGCTGAACTTCCCCCCTATGCCTCTGTGGCTTATGAGGGAGCTTACGAGCGCTATTGTTTCACATCTAGAATCCAAACCTCTCTGCACACATCTGTATGAACTCAGCAATTTATATTGCTTACAAGTGAAATTACCGACCAGTGCTCAAGATAACAGTACCAATCCAGCTGCATCTCTTATCTCCCAAAACACAAGTGCATCTGAATACAATGACAAGAGGGATGAATATTTTACATTTTTTAAGTCCACCAGCAACCCTGGGAGTTCTAGTACAGACAAAACAGTGGTTGGATCCAGTTGATGCCATGGCATCATAAAAGTCAAAGTAAATCTAATCAACATGATGCTGAAAAAGGGGTAGCAGCTGGTGCATCTACACTAGGACTCCCAGTGCTGCCAACACTAATCAGTATTAGGTCGCCATTGTAATCTTTTTGCCAATCCAGGGACAACCATGCTTTCTATCTTCCAACAACGCTAACGGAAGCAATCTGAATGTAGTACTGTTAAAGCATTTATAAATGGAAACTGTTTTTAAAGGCATGGTGTTGACCTCATACCATGGTGGGCTGCAGAAAGCACTTTAACATCTCCACAGGAGATGGAAGGTGTAGTTGTGGTGCACTTAGGCATGTCAGTGCTACTTTTAATTTGCTAGAACGCTTTATAATTGGTGAAAGCACAACCAGCAACTTGAATTAATAACAAATACATGTTCCAGTGAATCACAGATGCCAATTCTGTAACATGAGCTATGTTACCGTGTCTCCATTGCTGGGCAAGACGCACACTCATTTCAAATTCTAATCAACTGCACCAAAAATATTCAGCAATTCTCCACCTCTATTTGCAAGCAGAGATTTGGTTTTTTCAGATGCATTTTTCAAACGAGACTTGTACTTTTCAGCACAAAGTTATAAAGGTGTTTCGGCCAGAAAAACCCTATCTATGTCTCCACCAGGGCACGTAGGTGCTGGCTGCTGCTGCTGTTTCGCGGTGGGGGGACACGACGTAGGACGGGTGCAGGTGCCGAGCTGACCGGAGACGGACGGGGGAGGTATCGTGCCAGCCCCGGCGCCCCCCGCGCCCGCCACTCCACGCCCCCTCCCCACCACCTCCATCTCCCCAGAGGGGCCGCGGG